TTCTAGTTGTTAGCAAATAGTAATTCAACAAAAATTCACTTGCACTTCAGTTTGAAAAATATTCTACTACTATTGATGTGCTATTCTATTTGAAAAAAATTTGGCAGCATAACGGCTTATAACTTAGCATTCACCAGGCTTTATGCCTTCTATTTAACTTCAAATGAAGTATTAATTAAGTAGAGAACTAACAGTCAAGCAATTTCAATATATAATAACATAAAAATTAATTAACATTCAAAAACATAAAACATACAGCCTCAGTCAATTTCAATTACAGAAACAAAAATTGAAACATTAGCAATTTCAATAATTTAGCAAACAATTTATGGCTAAAACAGAAATTGAAAAAGACCCTAACTCCAAAAACTGATCAAAATGCGGAAAAACCCATTCGACCGAATAGAAAAACCCATTTTTCGTGTGTAAGAGTGAATCAGATATCAATAAATAAGTCATTTCCCCACTCTATTGATCTTTTTCCCTGCGCATTGTGAACAGTCCTAACATCATCCTATCATCCTCTTTCAACTACAATCATTTCGAAGGAAGCACTAAAGGAAATAAGGGGAGTGAGTGACGAAGGAGGACTAACCTGAAGCTGTCAAATTTGGAGAACAATGCACGACAACGATGATGCAAGAGGAGACTGCAGTGATGAAGGAGGACACAGAGAGGGACGATGATGGAGGACGATCAATAAAAACAAAAAGGAAGGGCCGAAAATGAGGTGGGTATGGCAGTTTAGAGGGTTCGAACCAGAAGAGGGTGCTAGAAATTTTGAACCCGGTAGAGCAAAATGAATAGAGAAGGGCATTTTAAAACATAATACTTGACAGTTTTTCTTCATAACTGTCAAGTATCTTAGAATAATATTTGACGGTTATAATGAAAAACCATCAAGTATTATAAAACTTGACAGTTTAAGGAGAAACCGTCAATTTTACCTCAACAATACTTGACGGTTATAATATAACCGTCAAGTATTGTTGTAGAAAATTTGATGGTTTTTGAAAAACCGTCAAGTATTTTCGAATGAAATTTGACGGTTCCAATTAAAACCACCAAGTTTTCTCCTGAGACACTATATTTGACGGTTTGTTGTTATAACCATCAAGTATTTAGCATCAAGTATTCCTCATTCTGTAGTAGTGCGAAACACTATATATATGATGCTCAAGATATTTTTATTTGAACAGAGTAAAGGATACTTTAGAAAAATTAGAGAGATGATGCTCTAAAATTATGCTACGGTAGAAAGGTATATCATACACACCTTGGTTTGAGCTTCGTGCTGATAACATGTTATAAATAAAGAAGAAATAGATAAGAATGATACAGAGGAAGAGAGGATCAACAAGAGAAAGTATTTCTCATTTTATTCAGGAGTGCTCAATATATTATATATGGCCTCTATTTATAGGCACAGCTTTACACATTTGATAGAATCTACAGATTACATAATAATAAGAGATAATTGTGGGATATAGAGACAATGAGAGATATTGGAGATTATAAGAGATATAGAAGATAATGAGAGATATATGGACATCCACAAAGATATTATTATATTCATAACACTCTTCTAATTTTATTTATGAGACACTTATAACATTTTTATAGAAACTTGTAACATTTTTATAGAAATTAAAAAGGTTTTAAATTTTACCAAGGGTTAATATAATTTTTTATATTCGAAATTTGGGCTTATTTTAATTTTGGTCCCTCAAATTTCAAACTCATTATTTTAGTCTATGAAATTTAATTAACCTTAAAACATTAGTCCTTAAAAAGGTGTTATAATATTAAAATCTATTGAAACATCATAAACAGTGTTAAAAATGATGATGTGGAATCACCATATGGCATCTAGCAGGATCTTGTGTGGATAATAATTTAAAAAAAAAAAAAGGAATTGGTCTTCAAAATACCACGCAAAGAACAATTGTACAGAAGGAGATGAGTTCTCAAAACACTTTGTAGTGAATAATTTCTCAAACAAACAATGAGAGAAAGAGGAGCCTAAATAGCTATGTTTTGAGAATCTGCTTTTTTTTTTTTTATGCTCTATTATTCATACAAGATTTAGATGTGTCATTGGTGACTCCATATTATCACTTTAATTAACACTGTTTATGAGACTTCAATAAATTTTAATACTATTACATCTCAACGGACTAACATTTTAAAATGACTAATGAAATGGACCAAAACCACATGTTTAAAACTTGAAAGAATAAAACCAAAATATGTTCAAATTTCAAGGACAAAAAATTATATTAATTTTGTCTTAAAAATTAATAAAATTTTAACTTTCTCTTTATTTAATATATGTTGCCAATATATATATAAAAGAAAATAACATTTTACCAACAAGTGTTGATATACATTTAACAGGATAACTTATGGAAAAATAGACTGTCCCACCCGGGTAGTAATTGAAATACTTGTGGCACATCATTAAAAACATGTCATATTTTTTATAATTAACTAATTTATCTAACGTCTGTAACATAATTAAATTAGTTAAATAAGTCTTATATTAAAGACCGGAGGAATATTTAAATTAAGTTATCTTGGAAAGTTTTTTTCCACAAATCTTACGTAGTTCATGAGGTCAATGTTTTGGACTCATTAATTAACTTGATACATATCTTCTTCCACAACGTCTTTGATTGGTGGAGTGATATTGACAATCAGTGAGAACATTACGAATTGCTAATATTATTATTATGAATAATACAAAGGAATTTACTTAAGAGAGTACACTTATAAAAGCGTATATACTTTTTTATTAAGATGGGATCGAGCAATTTGCCAATGATTATTAGCACAAATTGGATCTTAACTTTCACGAGCCATTTCTCCTTATTACTTAAAAATTGAACTAGTTTTAGGATAAAATAAATATGAAATTAATGAATAAACAATTTTTTAGGGGAAACGAGATGAACCTACTTTGAATTGTTTCGGCCAAATTTTTGAAATTTTAGCTACAGTAGACCATGAAACGTGGTAGGTATATTAAATTATAAATTTAGTTGGGAAAAAAATAATTGACGCACGTCACTTTAATTTATTCTTTCTTACCACTTTGTTTTTTTTTTTTTTTTTTTTGATACAGACTCTTTCTTACCACTTTATCTTCTCTAAATGCTTTACACAAGCGTGGCATACCAGCCAACTTCAAGTAATCTAAGTGCATTATATATAAGTTGGAATTTCTAAATAAAAAAAGGGAAAATCGCAAAACAATACCCTGAAAATTAAAAAATTGCATATAAGGATCCATTCAAAAAAGTTGTCATTTGTTTGTCTCGAAACCTATACTAATATTATAACGGGTCCCTATTTTGTGATTTTTCCAAATAAAAAAATTAATAACAGAGCTGACTATGATTCGTAAGTTGTAAGAAACTAACAATTCAATATTCCCCGACAATATAATTCAGGCACGCCAACATTGTTAAAAGTAGCAAATTAGACCATCACAATTTTTTTTGCCAGATACCATCATCAATCCGCGTGTTATCAAATGAAGCGAATGCAAAAATAATACTCCTCCGCTACTTCATATAGAAGCTCATTAGAGAGTTAATATTGGTCCTATATATAAAACATATTTTACATGTTTATCAATTTTTTTTCAAATTAGCCTTATTTATATTTTCCTAACAATAATCAAGTAGGAGAGGGAGAGAGAGAATTAAGAAAGACACTTATGGTGTCTTAGAAAAAATATACCATATTAACTAATTTAACTAACATTCTTAATCTACTCAAATTAGTTAATTAGGTTTCATATTAAAGACTGAAGGAGTAATATACAACAACCACAATAATGACAATAATTTACCCCTCTTATACTATTTTTAAGTTACCTTTAATATGTTTTACTAAAACTAAGAAAACATTAAATTTTATTGACTCTTAAAATTTCACTACTTTTCAATTTTATTTCTATTTAATATATATGATTTTCAGAAAATAAAAATCTACACAATAATAAATAAAGAATAAAATAACCAACAAGCTATTGGTTGAGATGATTAGAGGAGAGCACAAGTTCGGATCCTGAAAAGAGTACTTGTTGAGAGAGCTATAACCTTAAAGGCTCAAGGACCGATAAAGATTATTCTCAAATCCAAAGTGATTTAGGGATACCCTTAATTACACCCGAAAAAATTAAAGAATAAAATGATAAATTTATAATTATTTTAATGATGTGACTTGTAAATAGGATTAAAAAATATTCTCTCTTCAACTTATATACAACACTATAGAAGTACCAAGCAAGAAAATTAACTCCATTGAGACTAATGCATGCTTAGAATAGCGTTAGGATTTAGGAAGCCTCATAAATTAGTTGGGGAAAAAAAGCTAGTTAGATGAAAAATAATATTTGACATGGTTTTCGCCTGGGGGCAATTGATTTATTTTTCCAAAAGTCGCATTAATGTTTTTCAGATTTGAACTTTGAACCTTCTGATACTGAATTTTCAATAATGTACATCATCTAAATAACTATTTTTATCAAACTTAGGCCTGTTTGGTTACAATAATCCATTGAAATGTTTAAAATTTGAGAAAATTAAACTAAAATAAGTTCAAATTTCAAGGACCAAAAATTATATTGACATTTTTATTAACTTTGTCTTAAAATTTAATAAATTTTTAATTTTATTTCTATTTAGTATATATATTGCCAACTTAGTGTGTGTGTGTGTGTGTAAGAAAGTAACATTCTACCAACCAGTGTTATCTAAGTGGAAGGGGCTTGGGCAAAAACAAAAGAAAATTGTACGTTGATATAATACATTTAACAGGATAACTTATATTATGGAAAAATAGACTGTCCCTCCAGAGTAGTAATTGAAATGACTTGCGGCACATCATTAATTATTTAAGAAGATCAATACTTGGGGAGCTTAATTAAGCGTCAACAAGCAATATTTGTGATTCTCCATTGAATTTGAATTCCTCGGAGCTTAGAATCCCATATGGAGTATTTCGAGAGCAACCCATCATCGTTGAGACCGAGTCATGTATATATCAGCTTTCGAGGCGATGAAAGCAATCGTAAATTCATCCATAGCCTTTCGACTGCTCTTAAAGCAGAAGGCTTCAGAATCTTCGGAGACGATAAGAAGCATGAAAAGTCAGACTCCAATCTTCCACCTCACCTTCGTCAAGCAATTGGTGAGTCGTGGATTTGGATTGTTGTCTTCTCCAAAAACTATGCTTCTTCATCTTGGTGTTTCAAGGAACTAGCTCGGTTTGCGCAGCTTACCTTAGTAAAATATCGCTATGTAGATCCATTGATTGTTGAACGCGAACAAAGATTCGAAGCAGAAATAGACCAGGTGAACGGACGAAGGAGAGATCTGAAAAAAGGGTTCGGTCCCCGGAATGTACTGCATAGGATTATAGCAGTGTTCTATGATGTAGATCCAAAATCCTTCGCTCACCATATTCAACAAGCATGCGCACAATTCGAGGCACACTACTTGATGGAGGCTATCGAAAAAGTGGTGGCCACTCCCTCTGCCTGGGACTTACGGAATGACTATGTAATCTTACTCTTCATCTTTGTTTTTTTTCCTAGACATATGGGTCTCAAAAAGCTATGGGTTTTGGTTAATTAGTACTCCCTCTGATATTTAATATAAGGCCTATGCACTATAAAGTAGCTCTTATATGAAGGATAAGAGGAGTACAATAATAATGCCTATGGGCCTCTGGAGGATTTCGAGACGTAATTGAATTCCAATCGAGTATCCAAGAAGGGAGTTACGTACATAACTCTACCCATATCACGTTATGTCGGGGGAATGAGAAGGAGTAGGTTACTTAGATGATAACTCTCAGCTTTCTCCTCTTCTTTTGAATCTTGATATGTTCTCTTGAATCCTGAATCTCGATCAGAATTTAGGTATGAAACCCTTCGGCCAAAAATTTTTTGCACTTCTTTCAAAATCTTTTAATGTAGAAGCTACTTAACTAATTTACTAGGTATATTAAAGAAATTAGATAAATTAGTTAGTTATAAAAAATATGATTTGATCTCGCTAAAATACTCTTGTGCAATATTATATATTATACATCAATTTATAGGTTAGGTAAATTATTTTGAAAAGAAAAGATAAAAATAGGAGATAAAGTAGATCCAGGTGTTAAGGATGGAAGGGAATATTAACGTTGAGTCTAGACGGGAAGCTTGTACAATTTTAGCAAAACTCACGCGTAAACGTATCTAGGCTGTAAAATAGCTGCATACCAAAATTGTTTTACTCATAATACGCACACATAATTATATCTCTTTACTTTTAACCATTGAGTACGTTATCTTTTATTTTTATTTTTACACAACAGATACTATAATCTACAATCAGAAATTAATTTTTATTTTGTATCCTACTTTTTTATGATTAAAAAAAATTGTTAGAGAATTTAGATGTAAATTCTAGATTGTCCTGATAAAAGCACATGATCTTTTACCCTCACGCCTAAAGATGAAACAAATTTGATTGATTTGGTGTTTCATTTTTTTCTTTTTCAGTTCAGGGTCACGAGTCATTCAAAAAATTGTTAAACAAGTCAAGTCAGAAATAGATAAACTATTTTATGGCATATTCAGATTTGTTGGGATACAATCGCAAGTGGAAGAAGTGGAAAAGCTTTTGGATTTGAGTTCAGATGATGTGGTTGGAGTTGTCGGCATTTGTGGCATGGGAGGACTGGGCAAGTTTTCTATTGCTATGGTGTTATATCTTAAGATATTTCACCATTTTGATGCCTTTTGTTTTCTTCCCTCTGTAAGTCGACGTTTAAAGCAAGGTGACATAACTCTACAAGAACTTCTTCAGAGACATTTAGGGACAGAAAATTCAGAGGTGAGGGATTGTCTAGACAAAGAGTTCTTGGCTTGCAAAAGATTAAGAAACCACAAGTTTCTTATAGTTCTTGATGGTATCGAGCTTGTACAAGATCTCCAAGAGCTGAACTTGGTTGAAAAATCCAATTGCTTTGGCGGGGGGAGTAGGATCATTATAACTACTAGAGATAAACAAGTCCTTCAAAACTATGACGTTTAAAGGAAGTCAGAGAGAACAGAGCAGAAAGGACAAAGGAAGGAGTGAATGATACGTTATATTGAATATTCAGAGGTGTACATTATTTATAGAGGTGGGACCACTACACGTGACAGCTATACAAGAGAAATACTGACGCAAGTGGACAAGTGGGACTACATTCAGTTATAACTTAATTAACAACGTAACTACTTAACACTATCATTCCCCCTCAATTTGACATACTCTTCTATCCGAAGACCTCTTTTGAACTCTGCAAACTTTGAGCTGGACAAGGGCTTGGTCAAACCATCAGCGATTTGACTAGTTGCAGGGATGTGAGTAACACAAATTTCTCCTCGAATAGCACGTTCACGAACAAAATGTAGATCAAGTTCCAAGTGTTTAGTACGGGCATGTAGAACTGGATTAGCAGTAATAAGAACTGCACCAAGATTATCACATAAGATCTGAGGTTTGCCAGGGACCTTGAGTTTCAACTCAGAAAATAAAGACTTCAACCATAAGACCTCTGAGACGGTGGATGCCATGCAGCGGTATTCTGCTTCAGTACTTGATCTAGCAACAGTGGTTTGCTTCTTGGATGACCACGAAATGAGATTATTACCAAGGTAAATACAGTATCCACTTGTACTCCTTCTATCATTACAATCAGCAGCCCAATCTGAGTCACAGAAGGCCACAACAGATCTGGTGGCAGAAGGAGTGAAGCATAGCCCATGATTAATTGTTCCTGCAAGATATCTTAGAATCCTTTTGACAGCAACCCAATGTTCCTTTAATGGAGCTTGCATGAACTGACAAACCTTATTCACTGAGAAACTGATCTCAGGACGTGTGATGGTAGCATACTGAAGAGCCCCAACAATGGATCGATAAAGTGCAGGTTGATCAAATAGATGAGGTCCTTCTTTAAAGAGCTTCAAACTGGACACCATTGGTGTTGCAACACCTTTTGCTGAAGCCATCCCTGCCTTCTTAAGCACATCTTTAATATTTAGTTTGGGATAATACAAGTAAACCAGCAGAGGGCCTTTGCACTTCTATACCAAGGAAGTAACGAAGACTGCCAAGATCCTTGAGTGTGAATTCCTTATTCATAGCTCCGATAATGTTGGTAATTAACGCAGAGGATGTACCAGTAAAAATTATATCATCAACATAGGCCAAGGCATATATAATATCAGATTTTGTGATCCTTACAAATAAAGACTGATCACACTTGCTGCTATGAAAACCCAATTTATGAAAGACACTGGACAGCTTCTCATACCAGGCCCTAGGAGCCTGCTTAAGACCATACAAAGCTTTGTCAAGCTTGCATACAAGTGCTTTGTTCTTGTGCTCATAACCAGGAGGTTGTTGAATATAAACTTCTTCTTGAAGAGAGCCATTAAGAAACGCATTATTCACATCAACTTGCCGTAAGGTCCAATTTTGGGACACTGCAATGGATAGAACCACTCGAATAGTGACTGGTTTAACAACAGGGCTGAAGGTTTCATTGAAATCAAACCCTTGTATTTGATGAAAACCTTTGGCAACAAGGCGAGCTTTGTATTTTACAGTACTGCCATCAGGATTTGTCTTCCTCTTCCAGACCCATTTGCACTCAATTACTTGCCTATTAGGAGGTAACTCAACTAGGTGCCACGTCTTATTTCGTAATAAAGCCTCATATTCCTCATCCATTGCCTTTTTCCAGACAGGAGAAGTAAGAGCATCACGAACACATGTGGGTTCTATCTCAGCAACATATGCTTTAGGCTTAAAAATGCCATTCATAGACCTTGTCACTATTCGTTTCTCTGGTTCTAGTGCTACAGGTGGTTGACTAGATTCACAGGACAAAGGTTCAGTAGCAGAAGAAGACGAGATACTTGATGGAGACCTGCAAGTATGAACAGCTGAAGCAATAGAACTATTAGTAGCATTGCACTGAGAAGACACAGAGGAAAGGACAGGTGGAGGGGGTAAGACAAAGGAGGACTTAGAAGACATGACAGGAGTAGAGGAAGAAGGACACAGTATAGGATAAGGAAAATCAGACTCATTGAAGGAAACATCTCGTGATATGTATATTCTGCCTTTTGGGTCCCAACACTTGTAGCCTTTATGAGTAGCACTGTAACCAATAAAGATGCAAGGAATTGACCGGAAGTCCATCTTGTGCTTATTATACGGTCTGGTAAGAGGAAAACAAGCACAACCAAAGGTTCTAAGGTGAGAATAACTAGGAGCCTTTCCATATAATTTTTCAAAAGGAGAAACTCCACCAATCGTCTTGTTGGGCAAGCGATTGAACAGATACACAGCAGTTGAAAAGGCATCAACCCACATTTTAAAAGGTAATGATGCATTAGCTAGTAAAGTCAACCCTGTTTCAGTAATTGATCTATGCTTTCGCTCAGCAAGTCCATTCTGCTCATGAGTATATGGACAACACAGCCTATGAATAACACCATGATCTTTTAAAAATGAACCAATCTTGAGAAATTCAGCACCAGAATCAGACTGGAAAGCCTTAAGCTGACAATTAAATTGTAATTCAGCCATCTTCTTAAATTCCAAAAACACATCATAAACTTCAGACTTCGTGTGTAGGGGATAAAACCATGTAAAACGGGAATAAGCGTCTGTGAAATGAACATAATATTTGAAACCATCACGAGATGTATAGGGAGCAGGACCCCAAATATCTGAATGAACAAGTTCAAGAGGATGGGTGTATTGAGTAGAAGATAAAGAGTAAGGGAGTCGATGAGCTTTGCCAAGGCAACAAGCATTGCAAAAATCAAACATAGATTTCTTGTTACTAGTAGACAGATTACAAGATTTCATGACATCGATTACAATAGGAGAGGAGGGATGGCCTAATCTATTATGCCAAATGCGAAAGGAAGATAGACCAGTGTTATTCAAATCAGAAACAGACGTATTACGAGCAGAAGCTGTAGACACATAAGCAAGCTGGGAAGATGACCTGGAGGACTGTGCTGAAGACTGAGAGACAGGAGGTTGGATTGATAAGGAGACACCATGAAGTCTGGAGCATTGACGGTTGAGACGACCTTGGTAGATGACCCGATTAGTTTGTAGATCCTTGATCACACAAACATTAGAAAAGAATGCAATTAGTATATCGTTATCAAGACAAAGTTTAGGAATGCTCAATAGATTTTTAGAAATCTCAGGAACATGAAGAATGTCTTTGAGTTTAAGAGTATATTGAGAGTAAGGGAGAGTGGAGTTAGAAGAACCAGTGCAATGAACTGAAAGTCCTTTACCATCACCAATAAACAATCGATCAATAGTTTTATCACCTGATTTCTCTGAGATGTTGTGTTCATCTTTAGTAACATGGCTGGTGGCTCCAGAGTCGAGATACCAATCCGGATCACCAACACATTCAGCCGTAGCAACATAAGCACTCTGGTTTTTCTTGGTGTTCTTGTCAGCAAGACTCAATCCTTGGAAGGATTCATCAAAGCGATACCAACACTCACGAGCTCGGTGACCTTTCTTTTCACAGATTTGACATATTTCAGAAAATGTGCTGGTGGATGAGGTATTAGAGAAATGAGCACCCGAAGTCGAACGACCACGTCCTCGATTATAGCGGCCACCTCCTCTGGACCGACCACCTCCCCTGTTTGAAGGTTTGGTGTGAGCAAGATTCGCTGTAGCTGCCATAACAGCTTTTTGATTCTTCTCAATACGAGATTCTTGCGCCAGGAGCAAAGCTTCAATTTCTTCAACAGTATACGGATCAGATCTTGTTGTAACAGCAGTGATCCAAGGATCGTATTCTTCAGTAAGACCCTCAAAAATGATTTCAATGTGATCCGACTCACTGATCGGATGACCAATGCCAGCAAGCGCATCTGCAAGGCTTTTTATCTGTAGGAGATACTCATTGGCAGTCAAATTACCTTTCTTGGTATTCTTGAGCTGTGATTTGAGTTGTCGCACCTTCGCACGCGTTTGTGACGCAAAGTGACCATGGACCTTCTCCCAGATTTGTAGAGAGGTCTTGCAACCCACAATGCGCATGAGCATCGCGTCACTCATGGAGCATGACATCCATGAGGCAAGAAGCTGATCTTGCCTTTCCCAATCTTGGTACTGCGGATTTGGACGGACATCTTCAGGATCTTTCTCGTCCGGGAGATACTTCGGTGGAACCTTGGCGGTTTTGTCAATGTAATTCTGTAAGTCATGACCGCGGATGGCAGAAGCGATCTGGTGTTTCCAAATCAAAAAATTAGTTTCATCTAGTTTTACTGAGACTAGATGCGAAAAAGTCACTATATCTCTTTTTGACTGAGAGAGATAAGAAGCAGAAGAGTGAGAAGTAGAGGATTGAGAAGCGGAAGACATTGCCTCAGGATTTTCGTGCTCTGATACCATAAAGGAAGTCAGAGAGAACAGAGCAGAAAGGACAAAGGAAGGAGTGAATGATACGTTATATTGAATATTCAGAGGTGTACATTATTTATAGAGGTGGGACCACTACACGTGACAGCTATACAAGAGAAATACTGACGCAAGTGGACAAGTGGGACTACATTCAGTTATAACTTAATTAACAACGTAACTACTTAACACTATCAACGTTGACACAGTTTATAGACCTAAGCCTTTGTCTGATGATGAGGCTTTCGAACTATTTTGTTCTGAAGCTTTTCCAATGGAATATCCTGTTAGTGATTTCCAAGAGATGATACATAAGGCATTGGAATACGCTAAAGGCCTTCCGCTAGCAATTAAAATATTGGGTTCAACCCTTTTTGGGAAAGGCGTTGCAGAATGGAGAAGTGTCCTGGATAGAGAGGAAATTATTCCCCCTTATGATGTCATAATGATGCTTAGAGAAAGTTTTGATGAACTCGATAACATGAGTAAGGAAATGTTTTTGGACATAGCATGTTTCTTTGTAGGGAGGGACGTTAATCATGTGAAGGAAATCTTACATGATTGCATCAGCTGCTCTGTGGATATAGAACTTCTTATTCAAAAATCACTTATCACAATTGTAAATCAGAAGATACAAATGCACGGTATATTGCAAGCAATGGGACGAGAAATTGTTCGAAAACAATGTCCAAATCAGCCAGCTAAACGACGTCGGTTATATCTTTATGGTGACATCGAATATGCTATGGAGGATGGAATATACGAGGTAAGTTTTGATATTCCTTTTTAGCACAACATTACAGTATGAAAAGTTAAAGTAATAATCTAACATTTCATCATTTCCATATACATGCATTTATAATTCTAGGTGATCGAAAATGTGGAAGCTATAGTCTTGGATTTGGAAGAGCCGAAAGGGGTTGCATTGAGGAGCGATGCTTTACCAAATATGATCAATCTTAGACTGCTCATATTTCGTAATGTGCAATTTTATGGGAACCTCGACAATCTTTCAAGCAAGCTGCGATATGTTTCCTGGGATCAATATCCTTTCACTTGTTTGCCATCAAGTTTTCAGTCAGATACACTGGTTCAATTGATTATGCCTGATAGCAACATGACACAAGGATGGGAGGGCAAAATGGTATATGACAATGTTCTTATTATTTTTGGTATAACAAATATTTAAAATATTAGGAATTATTCAACCAAATCCCTAAACTAATAACATAGATACCTTTTTGCTTCTTGTTAAATATCCCAAGTGTCGTGTTTTACCACTCAAGTGCTATAACTATTTAATATTTACATATCTATATATTTTCTTATTCACAGATGCTCCCTATGTTGAGGAAAATGAATCTATGTGGCTCCAAAAGCTTGGTCAAGACGCCAGATTTTGGGGGGGTTCCGAATCTTGAGAGGCTGGAGCTTGAGGGATGCACTGGATTGTTGCAACTCCATCCATCTATTGCTGAACTTTCAAAGCTCAAATCCTTGAATTTGAGAGGTTGCACCAATCTTGTTAGTATCACTAATTCCTTGTTTTCTCTGAATTCGTTGCAAGTCCTAAATCTAGCTGGCTGCTCTGAACTTGCATACTGCTTGAACTTTTCTCCTTTGAAGAGCTCGGTAGAAGTGGAGCTGCTTGGCATTTGGTATAGTCCATACTTAGAAAAATTGCTGTACTTTCTTCTGTTTGTTTTACCAGAACCCAAAAGGTTATCAGGATTTTGTTTGTTGCTGTATTATTTACTTTATGCGTGTTTGTGAGGTCAGTAAACATGAATCCTGAGGTTGAAGGTGTTTGTACAAGTGTATCTGGTAAATTTGGGAATAATATAATGTACTTGTCTTTTTATCAATTATGTTTGATTTTCCTATATCACCCTGGCCTCAAAAGGGTAAGATATATTCTTTGGAGTATATATTCTTAGATAAGCAAAGTCAGATCAAAACATGAATGTAGTACAAATTTTGCAACATTATTGATGCAACATAACTGCACATTTTGTTCATCAACCACTCACTTGAATGGTAAATCCTAACCAGAGAGATTATCGAGCACTTGTTTTATTCCTGTGAGTTGGAAAAACCAATAAATTAAATAAGAACCTTAAAATAGGTAGAAGAAAGGGTAATTAAGGTGCAGATTTTTGGGAGCTTCCCTTGAAAAGAGTTATGAACAAAGGGTTGTCATCTCTACGAAGTGTGCGCGAATTTGATAAGGAAACAATTTGGGAGTAGTTTCACTTGTCTTGAAACGGTGAAGGAACTCAGGCGAGAGATAAAATTTTTGCCACAAGCCAAATTTAAACTTTTCAAAGAACTTCGACAATTAAGTAAGTAAAGAATACCCCCATGCAATTTGTCGAAGTTTATAAGATTTATTATCTCATTAAGTTTGTGGTGCTTGAGTAGTTGAGTATGATCTTTCTCACAACTACAAAAAGGGGCAATAGTCAAACAATAACCATTATGGCCAGCAATAATCATTATAAGAAAAAGAAAAAGATAAAGCATTTGTGTAATTTTAGTTTGCTAGTATTTATGTTTGAAAAAATAAAAAAAATAATTGTTAAATTTTAAAATGACACACAGACAATTATAATAATAGTCAAAACTATTATAGAAATAGTTAACATGACTTGTTTACCTTTTTGAAATTTAATAGATATTTTTATCATTTTCCTTTTACGTTTTGAATCACAAATTTTACGAAATTTTATCTATAACGAAATTTATAATATCAATATCAATATGTATAAAAAATTCATAATTTAATCCAGTAGTTTAATTTGTTCAAAATTAATCTCTTCACGCCTCTTCTTGTCGGATTCAAACTCATAGCAAGTGGGAAGACTCTCAACCCCTAAACCAACATACCAACCTCAATTTCAATCTGCAACCATAGTTAAAAATATAAGTTAATCCTTTATAATACAAGTTTTTAATTATTGATGTAAATTAAAAAAATTAGTTACGTACGTAAATCGCTTTATTTTGTTTTATCACTATATCCTCACTCAATATTATATGTGGGGCAAATGACAAGGCATGATAGAGACCAACCAACCAACGTCGATCAAATGCATTATATAATAAATCAGTCTCGTCTTGTTTTATCACTCTATCCTCACTCGATATTATATTTGTGGCAAATGACCAGGGACGATGATAGAGACCAACCAACATCAATCAAATGCATTATATAAGAAAAAAAACTGCAAGAGCTGAATTTGACTTGTATTAAAGAACAACTCGTATTCTCAATAGACGCGGGAAAATGATTGAGATAGAATCATGCTATTGAAGGCTGGAATGAAGTGGCCGATTTAGTCCGGTTTTCCAGACTGAACCGGTTTCATAATTGGTTTGATTGAGCATCGAAATCAGGGTTGAGTTGACTCAATGTGACCTGGATCAATTCGGGGTAACTTGGTAGGGTAATCCGGCCAATTGGTTTGGGGGATTAACACAATTGCCTTTCATTTTTTTCAAAAAAAAAAACTTAGTTTGATGATTAGAACTTAATGATTGAATAAGCCTAGGAAAAAAACTTATTGTAATCATATACCTATTTTGATATTTTGTTGGGATAAATATTTAGTGATTTTAGTAATATGATATTATGATTTTAATTTGTCAAAGGAATTACGAAAAAGTTGAAAAAATTGTAGGTGTATGATTATTTTATTAGTGATTTAAAATACTAAATTGATATTTACTTCTTAATAAAAATTTAAATTATTTTTTATTTTTTTATTTCTTAAAGGTTTGATCCCTGAGTTGACTCCGGTCGAGCCCACTAATCTTCGATCCATACTGTTTTGACTTGTTTAATGACTGGTTTGGTTTTTAGTACTTTGAATAGAATGTTAATCAAACATTTTAATTGGGTCATTATTTTTTTTTTTTGTGAGCTTGATGTAAATCGGGTTGTTATGAAATAAATCAATCGCACAAATAATTATAATTTCATGCAAAAGGATCAACTCATATTTTTATTTCACTAGATAAAAAATAAATTTCATTCTTTAATGTCCCCATAACATACAAATACTCTGCAACAATTTCCATTACATTAAATTTCTCACTATTCGTAGTCTTTTAAGTTGATTGAACTCTTTTTCAGTTTTTAAACCCCAATCAGTATTTGAGAATAATTTGTTAATATCTAAAATTTCGGTGTCAGCATTTTTTTTTTTGGTTAATGAAGCTTATATTGGAGTTGGAGGACTTCGCTTTATAAATTTATAAAATTAAGAGACAACAGTAAAGTATTGTGTGGAATTGAAACATACATGCACTCTTTTTTTAATATCCAATCAACGATGGCTTTACTTTCCACTGTCGTTAGCCACGGCGGCGAGAAAGCAAAGGTCTCTGCTGTGTTTAGGAAGTGAGATTGTGATATTGTTGAAATGAATTACCTTAGCCTACCAAGCAGCTCGTCTTCTCGGAGGACCTGGAAATACGAAGTGTTTCTGAGTTTCAGAGGTGAGGATACTCGCAACAGTTTCACCGATCATCTTCATGCTGCTCTTCAACGAAAAGGTATATACACTTTCAAGGATGATAAAAGGCTCCAGAGAGGAGAAAGTATTCGGCCAGAGCTACTGAAAGCGATTGAACAATCCCGGATTTCACTTGTCGTCTTATCCAAAAGCTTCGCAGATTCCACATGGTGCTTGGACGAACTGGCCAAGATTTGCGAGGGAATTGGTCAACCGGGATACACTGTTCTACCAATTTTCTACCATGTTGATCCATCTGACGTACGAAAGCAGAGGGGCGATTTCAAACAACCGTTTGATAAACATGAGCGAGGCTCAAGTGATAAGGTCCCAGGATGGAAGTCAGCTTTGGAACAGGTAGGCCAGCTCGCCGGTTATGATGTAAGGAATAAGTAAGTAATCTTGTCTCGTTCTCGTTTATTATGAATCTGTATGGAATGCTCATTTTTCCCTTCTCTTCAGATCAGAGTCGGGTATTATTGATGAAATCGTTATGGATGTGATCCATAAACTGAAGCATAAATTCTCAAGTCTGGCTGATGATCTAGTGGGGATGCAATCTCGTGCAGAAGCTTTTGAAAAGCTTCTAAATCTAGATTCATCCGATGATATTCTATTTGTGGGGATTTGGGGAATGCCCGGAGCAGGGAAGACCACTCTTGCTGCAGTTGTATATGATAGAATCTCCCACCACTTCGATGCTTCCTGTCTTCTTCTTGATGTCAGTAAAGCTCGCAAGCCTTCTGGTCTTGTCCGTTTACAACAACAACTTCTTTGTGAAACAGTGGGGAAAGATCAAGAGGTTTGGGAGGAACACACAGGAACCAATTTAATAAGCACTAGGCTTCGCGAAACTAAAACTCTTATTGTTGTTGATGGTGTTGACCATTTCGATCAGTTGAAGAAATTGGTTGGAAAGCACGAGTGGTTTGGTCCTGGGAGTAGAATCATCATAACAACTAGAGATGATAAAATCCTTGAGAGGCGTGGGGTGGGTAAAGATAAAGTTTACAAGGTTGAACTTTTGAATGATGAAGAAGCTCTTCAACTTTTTTGTGTTAGAGCCTTCAAAAATGATGTTCCTGATGATGGATTTGAAGAGTTGACCCATAGTTTTCTACAATATGCTAAAGCCCTTCCACTGGCAATCCAAGTGTTAGGTTCCTCTTTGCGTACCCGGAAACAATCAGAGTGGAAAGCACTATTAGATAGATTGAAAGAAATTCCCGACAGAGAGATTATGAAAGTGCTGGAAACGAGTGTACATTCACTAGACCAAAGGGACGAGGATATATTTGTAGATGTTGCTTGTTTCTTCAAGGGTGAAGATGAGAAATATGCCAAAAAAATTCTAGATCATTGTGGATTTAATCCCGAGCTTGGAATCAACATTCTGTGTGAAAGATCACTCTTGGTCATCGTCAATGGAACACTCCGGATGCATGATTTGCTGCAAGAAGTGGGCTGGAAAATTGCGAAAGGAGATTTCCCTCAAGAGCCAGCAAAGTGGAGCAGACTCTGGTTGTACAGAGATCTTCAAGCTGTTAGGACAGTGAGTAATGTTTTGATCATTTATCACTGACTTTTTTTTCGCTTTCTTTTTATTTATTTCATTATCCTAGCAGTCCTATATTATTCGAAGAACCCAACATATTCCTTTTACTTTGTGTTTGTGTTCATTATTGGTCGTAGGGAACAGATGAAGTTAAAGCCATCGTCTTGAAGGAGGAAGATGTAGATGTGAATGAGATGCTGCCATTGAGGGCTGAAGTTTTATCCCAAATGAATTGCCTAAGGCTAATCATATTCCCTTCTATGAAATTTTCAGGAAAGCTGAATAATCTTTCCAATGACTTGAGGTTTCTTTCCTGGCAGAAATTTCCTTTCAGTACTTTACCACCAAGTTTTGAACCAGCTAAACTTGTTGAATTGGTCCTGATTGATAGCAATATAAGACTTCTATGGGAAGGTGTAAAGGTGTAGTACTGTTCTTCTAGAAGAATTGAGTGCCATCAAATGGGGTATTAATTACATTATTTTAAGATTGTCTTTTTGGCTCCTTCGTAGGCTTTGACAGAGTTGAAGACCGTTGACCTGCGCGGCTCTAAAAATCTAATAAAGACGCCAAACCTTAAAGGAGTGAAAAATCTTGAGAAGCTAAATCTTGAAGGATGTAGTGGATTATTGGAGGTTGATGCATCTATTGGAGATCTCACAAAGCTAACATTCCTGAATTTGAAAAGCTGTGATCGTCTAATCAGTATCCCAAACACCATATTTCTTTCAACTTCTCTTGAAACTCTGAACCTTCCT